TAACATGTTGACATGTTATACTACTGTATATACCTCGTTTCAATGCAACTGTTTCTTTTGGTTGAACTCTGTGTCGGAAATAGTCCGCTGCGAAGAAGCACAAGCATTGTGAATCGTACTTCAAGATTTTCTTCCCTCTTAACTATCGTAAATTTAGAGAGAACTACTGGTATAGTTTGTCTTCGACCTAAGTAGTCATCAAAGCAGCCATGTGAGAAGATTCCACTTGTGATACCCTAATTAATGGTGTGACAGTACATGTTTATTTTGAAATTTAGAGAAATTATTATAATTGTAGCTTTATAGTAATCCTAAGGATATAATATCTGTTAAAGAGAAGAGGATGGAAAGAGAGAACCTCCCCTATCTTCTTCTCGTATTACACAGTAACATTAAATCGCCGTAGTTCTAATCGAGACTTCCTGAAACAAATAGGAACTTTATTATCGGTAATAATATTGGTTCAGAATAAAAGAATTAACGATACTCAATTTACAAATGAAAGATCAATAATATATCAACATCCAGGTTTGTTGTTTTGGGATCTCTTCTCGTCGCAGGTCTAGTTATATTTTATTGGGTTTTTCCACTGTGTCCACCCGAAGTTAGTACACGTCATCCCCACCTCTTATAGCTGACTCTCGCATCGGTAAGAATATTAGAATCAGAATTAAATACATATATATATGAATAATTAATGATAAAACATTTCTTTTCGCGTTATTTTGTTATTTAAATTATCTAATAAACTTTCTTTGGCCTTCATTTTGGCCTCTTGTTCAATTGTAGTAACTTGCTGCTTAGTATATGCTGATAAAGTTTCACCCTATTTAAAGCCAATACTTTGTTACAACTGTAGTCTTTGTATGTAATGGATTTTACATCCCTGAAGACATTGGCGTTTTGTACGTTGGTACAAAACTGCGATTTCACGCCCATAAACAGTGAACGCTCTGTCGCAGTAAGGGGCTTGCGGCCCTTCTTCTGCCTATTGGCCTTGCCTCCTGTTGTGGTTGGGCTTTTAGCCAGAACAAGTAGACAAGTAATACTCTACTTTAACATACAACTCTAAGGGACCTAAATAGGGAATAGGCAATAGTCAGTACAATGTAATGTAATGTAAATCTAATTAATATAAATAATAACATCACAACAACTTCCCCATTAAGTTCATTACTCTCTTCTTTCTCCTCAAAATTGAAACCGAACGAATGTGGGCGTGGGTTCAGATCCCACTTCTGACACCATGTTGTGGTTGAGCTTTTAGCCAGAACAAGTAGACAAGTAATACTCTGCTTTAACATACAACTCTAAGGGACCTAAATAGGGAATAGGCAATAGTCGGTACAATGTAATTAATATAAATAATAACATCACAACACCTCCCTTCCTCCCATCATTCACCGCTCTATTTGTCCTAGCCGAGAAGCCGGTCCGGTTCTTCTTCTGTTTCCCAGAGTTCCCAACTCTGTTCAGCACTCTGTTCTTTTTCTTTGCTGCAGCTGGCTCTGCTCCCAACTTATCATCAAAACTGGCATCTTCTCTTACCATTGTTGTCCTTCTAAAAGTATTAGAGTCAAAGGATCTCTTCAGTATGGATGAGGAAATACCGTTTCTACCTTGACCCGGAACTATTGGGAGGCACTGTTTGAAGTCCCCCGACATTACCACAGGTATCCCAACGAATGGTTTGCACACTTTCCTTATGTCCTGGAGAGTACGATCGACTGCCTCAATGACCATTTTGTTTAGCATCGTAACTTCATCTATGATGATAATATGCGTATTGCATAGGAGATCTGAAAGGCTTGTTCCTCTGTTGATGTTACACATGGAGTCACGGTGAATATTTAACGGGACTTTGAATTGAGAGTGAACTGTGCGTCCATGCGTTAAAAGCAATGACGCATTAGCAGTAGATGCAGTTGCTAATACTATGTGGCCCTGTGACCGATGATGGACTATCACTGTATTTAGGAGGAAGCTTTTTCCTGTCCCCGGGCTTGCTCCTAAAAAAAGTGTTGTAGTATGATAATTTCCTGAGCACATACCTTCTATTACATCGAAGGCTCTTCTTTGTTCTTCATTTAACTGAGATATTCTTCGTCCTGAATTTTGTCGCTCTAAGTCAATATCTATGTTATTTAACTCTCTGCTGACAAAGTTACTGCTCTGTTGACGGATTTCATCAGCATTTAATAAAACGATGCCAAACGATGTAAGTGAACGGCCTCCACATGACAAAATATCTGTTTCCAGCAATTGTAGTATATGTTGTCGAATACTGTCAGTGTTTCCTAATGTGAAATTGCCGACTTCTTGCCGCCTTTCCATTATGAAATCCTCGCAGAGATTATCCGCGAATGTTTCCCACAGAGATAGGGGGTCAGACGGTTCGCATGCGCAGATGACCGTAACAAAAAATTGTCTAAGTTTTAGAGCAGACAATGTAGCACTAATCTCGTTCATCGCATCAAAAATGTGGTCATCGTTGTCCAATAAGCCGTGTCTTCTGCAAGCCTCTTTGAAGGTTGACAGTAGCTCACCGTCAACTGTCTTGAGGTGAGCGAATGACGTTGGGCCTGGCTGATGAACCAACAACAGTCTGAGGTAGTAAAGATCACCAATTTTTGGTGACATCGAGTAAAGTCTACCAATAGTATTTGAGTGGACTACTACAGAATCGTCGGTCTGATACATCTTCCTTCCACCAATCTGACGACGCTTCCACTCCTTTTCCCCAGGTGTAAAACTCGGGGACTTCGTGATATTTTAAAGTAGAAGCCAATAAGTCCTCTGAGCAGAGATTAAAGAATGCCACAAGTTTCGAAGGGGGTGGGTTACTGTTCTCCATGGACTGGGATGTAGTAGTCTCTGGATTGAATGTGAATTGGTGTTCCCCCTCGAGGTGTATGTCTAATGTAACGACTGTTGGCCGGTGACCGTTTCGTTCCATACCAAGTATGACCATAGTGGCTTCATTAGCCCCCAAATACCTAAAAATTAGAAATTATAAAGATCATAGCAATTTTACATATAATGGTGTAAGATCCAGATCAATTAAATGAAAATTACTCAACGAAGAACAGTAAACATACCTTGTACCTATGATTCTCATATTCGGATATTTCATCCAAACCCGGACTTTGTAGATTATATGCAGCCCTGTCAGTTCCTTTATACGTATATTTTAGAATATATTTGATTGAGTTGACTGAACTGCAAATTTCAACGTTAATGTGACAGTTCATCTGTCGTGAGAGAAACGGAGAATAAGGGACAATCCAGCTGTTGTCTACTATAACAACTGTTCTTAGGCCGTCCCTGTAGCAGAACTTTTCTATAGAAAAAAAAAAGTATGGATACTTTTTACTGCATCAAAATATTGCAATCACAAACAAAGTTATAAGAAGTCATAGCGTGAGCGTAAATGTGAGCTAGTTTTGAAATTATGACGTAGCATACAGCATAACAACGAGCGTTGTTAATATGTTCTTGCTCGCGCACGTGCATTTTTATCGTTGCTACGCAACAGCGCAGTAAACCTTTGCTAAAATAACGCCATTATTCTAACGATTATTTAACCTCACTTCCGACGTTAATTATAAAAAATCTAAAGCCTAAATCAAAATTCTAAGAATGCTATAGCCTATTCCTATCCTTTTTCTACAACCCTGCTAAAAATGGCGAGGTTTCAACTCCATTTGCGAGCTGGGTTTGGCTTCACCAGAGGGTCATTTTGAGGTCGATTTTCGGTGTTTTTTCTTCTATGTCCCCGTTGCCGGGGAAATTTCGTCTAGTTTAAAATATAGTAGAGATATCAGAGATATCAGCTACAAGTACAAGAAACGAATTTTTAGGATATTGCTAATAACCCAACAAATAATCCCTTTGATAATACATTGCTGAGGCTTTAGATAGGAAGCTAATTTCGTGATGAATATTTGCAATGTCGACCGTAGTTTATCTTTTATTGGGCTTTACCTCCTGGATGAGCATTTGTAACATTTTGTTCTCCTCGCGAAGTTATTTTCCCGACAACTTTTGCACGTCCAATCTCCACGGAACGTATGCAGGGACGATCCGCTCTTCTTATCAGCCTTGCATTTGGTGCAATTTACAATGCCCCTGCCGTTGTTTATCGTGCCGCAGCTATTACATCGTCACTTCGTACACTCATAAGGATTGTATCTTGATGACATCCTGGGCATCCTGCTAGCTAACAATTGAATTTAATTGAATATTACAATTTTCATACATGGTCAGCTTCTTTATTTAATAACTAGTGTAACCCGGCCTTCGGCTTGGATTTCATTGCCGCAGTTAAAAAGGGTAGGAGCATTAGCCTGCAATAAATGTATCAAGCGGTGAAGATAAATACGTGAAATTGCAAGTGAAACAAATCTAAACAGTGACCATTGTGAAATTACAAACCAAATCATGCTAGCAAATGGAGTATTTGCATTTTGCAATCATTTGACAGAATTGATCACGTGAATAGTATGCTCACCGGGATTGGCTAAAGAGGAAAGGGGGCAAACTCAATCAACATATCAAGCAGTTATTTAGCACCTTTTCGACACATCTCAGTTTCCCCTTATAATTACATCACACTCCTTGATTATATACAGGTCTGTTATAAAATAGTCCACCTTCAGTTTACTAAGAAACGAACGCCATCTACTATCACACAATGTGGAGCATGGCGAAAATTCTGAACCCAGGTGTATTAAAGTGTATTAAAGTGCATCCCCGGGGTCAAATGGCCAAAATACACCTATACACTTTAATACAGTTGCCCCCCCCCCCCAACTCTGTGTCGGGACTCTGGAATAGTCCGCTGAGTCCAACACCCGCCCTCCCTCCTCCCCCGCCCGCCCCCCCCCCCCCTGACACCTTCACAGACACTTTTCGCCTTAATAGATAGTCAGATGCACTGCTCTCTTTCTAGTTGTTTGAAAATAATAATCTAAATTCCAGTTGTTGAGAAGGAGCTAAAAGCCCAATGACGCCAACAGACGTAGTAGTGTAGGGACAACAGAGCATGTGCTTCAGATTAACGTCCTTAGTACGACCAAGGCTGATCAGTCTCTTGGTGCTTACAATTGTTCTCGAGATTACCGTCTGAACAGGTGGAGAGGAAACCTTATTGTTTTACAATCCTCCAGTGTCCTACTATTGAGAATTCTCGTCCTCTGTGTTCATGACTGGTCTTAAATTTAAGGGAGTTTTTTAAACAAAGCGTAATTTTCAGTTAGTGGGCACGTGTGTAATTTTGCCTTCAAAACTGGCCAAAGTTTTTAGCCTTCAATTTAATTGTTTATTTCCAAACTTCTCAATAATCAGGGGTTTTGAATAAGTACTCTAGACTTATTTCGTTCAACAGCATGATACTTTTAGCACTTCTTTTGGTCCATTCTGGTGAGTCATATCATCTTTGGTATTTAACTAGGATACTAAGGCCTGAAAATGGACTTTCTTTTCTTTTCTTTTCCGGTCGTGCTTACCAGCATTGTGATCGGAGCCGTGAATTGAGGCGAACCTGCTAAAGCTCTAAGCTCATTACTTTGTACTTTCACATAGATTCTAACAACTTTGACATCCTCAGCTAGAAGCTGCAGCTTTCTGGACGCTGCAGTAAATGTGGAGCACATGGCACCATGGTCATTTGAGTACGATGCTGGACATGTGGCAACGATTTACTGTTTTGATAATTTTTTTGTTTCTTCGGCCATATCTGAGACAGATAATAGCGCGGTTGTCAGATGTGGGCCGTCGGGAGAGTGGCTCACTTTTGGATTGGGCTTTGAGACTATTGTAACTGGATGTATTGGTACGTAGATCATGCATATTAAAAAACGCGTTATAACAGTACAAAATACTGAGAATAAGAGTGACATATTTTGCTCGATTTTATATAAATTGATGCATTCTAAATTCTGACAGCACCTAAATTAAAATCAACAGTTCTGATAGCACATTATTACCGTATCTATGGAATCTGATACGAAATCTCCCTCTCAGAATGTATTGATAGCATAGCGAGCTGCAATTACGGCTCCTGTGTGGATGGAGTGTGCATTTGTTACGAGGGCTACGAAAAGTCTCTGAGAGACCCTAGATTGTGTGCTATAACCCAGTGCGATGATCTGGTACTGGCCAACCAAAAGGCTGATCCTGTTGGACCGTATGATGTTGATGCTGTTGTTGCGGTTAAATGTAATTCGGGACATCATGTCCTCGGAACGAAAGATGGTACTGAGCAAGTTTTGACTTGCAAATCTGACGGACATTTTGGCTCTGTTCTCCGACCGTGCGTTGGTAAGTACTAAATCTGTTTTTCAATTATTAGAATATCAGTCCAACCATTAAACAATTTACATATATATATATATTTTTATATAAAACGTTTTAATGGAACAAAAGTGGTGGTTTTATAAATGGTGATCTTCAGATAAATTTACTCGTCGATTGGTGCAGGTTATATCTCCGCCTAAAGCACATCCAATTTGATACGTATGAAATATGTCTATAACTTAGTTAGCACTAAGTTAGCATTCTGCGACCGAAATTGAACGTGGAATCGTTTAAGATCACTTTCGAGGCACCTCGACAAAAGCTTCTCACGCTATTGTGCTTTTTATGGAGAAATACGTCAGTAGAGTTTTTAAGCTTGTTATTCTCTTTCAAAATTATTCCAAGTGATTTGTATAAGTGCATATATTAACTCTGAATACATTGCACAATCATTTATCTCGACTCATGAAGTTTGAAAGAAGTTACAGCAATGCGCGCAATTTTGGGAGTGTGCTTTCGGCGGAGATATAAACTGCGCCTACTCGATTAGTTACCAACTTATTAAGTTAGTTAGTTAGTTAGTTAGTTAGTTAGTTAGTTAGTTAGTTAGTTAGTTAGGTAGTTAGTTAGCTCCATGTTTCTCACTTCCAGTTTGTGGACACTCCGGGGATTGTACGAACGGAACATGCAATGCTAACCACGAGTGCGAATGTGACATTGGTTTTATTCAGGTCAGTACAATTAAAATTGTAATCACATCTAATCAATAATAATCATGTACATTTTGTTTATGTAATACAGTAAAACTTCAATGTTGCCTGGATCTGCTAGCCCTGGATCAAATTATAACCTGTAGCCTGACTAATGAAAATATGAGATTTTAAACAGCCCTAAACTGGTGTTTAAGGTTTAAGAAAGTTCACTGTAGTTTGTAGCTATAGCTTAATTTTTTCCCTGCTCTTGCCGAAGGCAAAAAGATCGTAGGGAATAAGTAATCGGGTTTGGATATATGAGCTATCCCGATGGACCTGCGATGATGACAAAAGTCTGCTCCTTCGCAATATAGACCACTCCCCTTACTCTAGTAGCAGGGAGGAATTGAGTGTGCACTTCGATGTACAGAGTTTTTTGCTGCTGAATCGGGTTAAATAGGCCATTGATAACTCAAATCACCGAGGGGCAAATATTGTCTCGCTAGTCCCAACCCTGTGGAGCCACGCCCATATTTCATATTAGGCGCTTATTTGGGAAATTCCTATCTCAGCTTCTGAAGTGCTTAGAGACTTGAAATTGGGCTTAAAATGACCGCAATACACATGTTTATATTAGCACTATGAAGGTATTAAAGCTCTCAGGGACTTACTTTTTGAGAAAAATGAAAAAAACTAATTTTCACTGGGGCGCGATGAGGATGACATGCTTTAAGCTACTAAAATTCATAAAGTTGAGTACATAATATTGTGAAAAGAAACCAATGTGCTGATTTAATCTGCCAGAAGAGCAACAACATTAACAAAAGCTTACAAATGAAAATAACTGATTAACTGAAACACACACATCTTTTAGGAACTTTTACAAAGAGACATTACAATATCTGCCCATATAACTCAAAATAAGTTCAATCTCCTATTCCACATTATTGATTGGGTTTTTGCACATTTCACCACATTTGCAATAATTAGAGCATGCATATTGTTTCTGTCTGCATGGGCAGGTGATCCTGACACAGGATTTACATTTACATGGTTCAGGTATATCAATTGGTCTTTGTGGAGGCACAAACCAAGTGGGAGATAAGTTGATGTCGTATCCGTATTCTGTAACATCAAGGATTTTAGATGCATCCCCTGTTGCAGCTTCGAGCCACAACCTTGCTTGGAAGTATGCCCTTCGAATATGCTGCCTTATTTCATTAGACGAGCATGGAAGATCCACAAACCTTACGTTTCTTGTTTGCTGCCGCATTCTTAGTCTAAGTTCGTCAAAAGTTGCACAGTTCATGAATGCCTTGTTAGCTACAACTTTCACTAAAAATTGTTCTGCCTTTTCAAACATGTCCTCGTCAAGTACATCCAATCCAAAATCCGTAATGAAATGGCTGTACTGCTTAAGAGCTTTCAACAAAGCCAACTTTGTGCCAACTTTTGAGACAGTGTCACAACCTGTCAATGCGTGTCCTGCTGGCAGGCTTCTCACTAGACTAGAATCGACTTTGCTCAGTAGCAAGTGTAAAGGATATAATTCTTTTTGCTGTATTGTCTTTACTTTAAAATCACCCTTTCTGAGCAAGTAAAGATTAAGACCATGCCATGCACTTTGGAGATAGTAAAGAAGGTTTACGAAAATGTCTGTGTCAGGTGACACAACAGAGACACAGCAACTTTCTGTTGACAAAGCATGAATCTTACTGATCGAAAACATAATACGATCATCAGCCTCTTCGTGAGATGCCCTAAATTCTATCGCTTCATTTATAACACCATCTGAAATCACTGTGCATTTATCTGGGTCCGATTTTATGCCTCCTGCCAAGTATAGTGGCTTTTCTGATGTGTAGTGAGAAGAGCAATATTCTACAAAAAAGTTCTGATAACTGATTTTGTTGGACTGTCTGTCAAAGAAATCATCCAAAGGAGATGGTAAGGACTGTTCCTCGGACACCACCTCACAAACAGCACCTACATTCAAATTACCGTCTTTGGTTGCCCTGGTTACTCGTGCTGCTCCTTTGATAGACATGTCTTTATAGTTTTCTAGAATAAGATGTATCTGCTCACTTTGCTGCCCATATGAAGTCACGTTATTCAGAATTTTCTCACAGAACGAGCCGAAGGTTTTGACACCTGTTAACTTGACTGATGTCCATTTCCTGATAATCGCCATAAAATCAATTACAACTGCTGTCGTTTTTACATGAGGTAACTGATTGGTCTCGTTAACCACAATCGATTCCTTGTCAAGTAATTGTAACAATTGTTTGGCAAGATCTGATTTGGGGGCTTTCTTTTGCTTCAGTGAATCTTTCTTTAGTAGATAAACTGGACGTGAAGTTAAAGGATAAATGATCAGTTCCTCCAATCCCCATCCCCTGGATGCTGCATACTCGATAAAGTTCACTGCAGATGTATTTAGTTGGTCGTCTGTGAGCACCTTAACCTTCTTCTCTTTAGCCATTACATTGGATTCAATGGACATATAAGAAGACTGATACTTGAAGCTTATGGAGGCATGCAAGCTCTTGCTTTTATCAAATAAACGGTCTTGGACGAATTCGCCATAGTTTGCTCGTCCAAATTCGACACAGTCTAGTAGGTATTCTCGATTTGCCACGACTTCACGACTTGTCAGATTAATCAGCTGATCAGGGCTATCAACTTTAAACGGATTGCCAACAGTTTTGATGTAAGCAACCAGTTTATCTGCTCGGGACTTACCCTTCTCTGCTGACTTTGGATTGAACTCGTGGTGGAGATTGTTCAGCTCTCCCTGGTGTTCACCAATGCTTGCTGTTTCTTTCAGGAAAGAGACGAACAAGTCTTTGTGATGTTTGATGATATTCCAGAGAGCCACTGTTTCTTTCTGACGAGTTGATCCAATGATACCACCAGATGCCTTAGCCGTGAAATTGTATGCCTTTTCAAGGGCCTGGTCAAATCCTATTGCACTTCCTTTGCGCTCTGATAAGTAACAGACAAAGTTCCCGTCTTTGAAGTGCTTGTGTAGGGCTGGGAATTTTCTCTGTATATCCAAACAATCTTGATAAAAGAGGGCTCCATATCTACTGTAATTTGGCTTTCCTGTGCCAAAGAAGATTCCTAAGCTCCTTTCCACTGCAGACAGAAACAGCTCCCAGTTTCCAGTCCGGACGGATACCTCAAAGTCTCTTGCACATGGGAACATGTCTCTCAGAAAAATTTCCCAGTAGAGAAAGTTTTCATTTCCGCTATTAGATCCTTTAAACTGAAGAAATGCCTTGTGTAGTCTGTCCAATGAAACCTTGTAACTTTCCCAACAGCTTTCAAAGTCGTTTTCGTCAGAGTTATCATAGACTTTTTTTAATACTTGTTCAATGTCAAACTCTATATCGTCAAGATTAATTTCCTCCTTGCATAAAATAAATTCATCGCTTTCGAGAAAAGCTTCATATTGGAGGCGTAAAATAGACTCCGCAATCATATTAATGCCGTCTTTTGCTTTGATGTAATCACCTCCTTTCAGAACACTTGACAGTGCAACATCAGCTGCAAAGACTCCACACTTTTTTAGGGCTTCTCCAATTCCTGAGGGAATTAGCCACTTTCCGATTGCACCCATGATTATCTTACTCCAATGGAACGGGCCAAGACCTAAAAATATTGACCCGAAAACTTCCGGTTTTAGTAGTTGTATGTCTTTTGCGAGACAGTACACCCCTTCATCACACCATAGTGCTCCAGAAGTTTCGCCTCTCTGATGCAGCACATCTTTGAAATTCATCATAGAAGTGTAGATGCTGTCCATTAAGGTTGCGGGATATGGCAGTATCGGGATAAATGATTTCGCTGTCATCATCCTAACTTCCCTAGATGTTAGTTTACTGAGCAAAGCAGTAAAATTGGGAATATCATTTGCACCTTTGAGTCTGGAAACAAACCATGCAAAGAAATCGTCGTTCACTTCAGTCAACATTGAGTACTTGTGTATGTGATCAGTTATTGGCGAGAACTCCTCGTTTATTTCTCCTGAATTTTTGGCAAGCTGCGACGTCATTAGCTGCTGGCAAGGTAATGTGTGCTGCAAACTCCGCTTTCTGTCCACAGCGTATTTGGTCGTGTCACGCTTACTCATAGTCCTTGGTTCCATATCTTCATCTTTTCCATTTGCATTCTGCCATATGACAAGAACGGTGTCGTTGCTGACATCTCCTCCTCTATCAGTTCTTTCTCTGTGGTTGAAATTATCCACAGCTCCTTGGATTGGAATTCCACGTTTTATGGAATTATTGACTGGGCATCGATCCTTCCCCGCAGTATCGATATCTGTCTGAGCCATTTCAATATCGTCTCTCTTCATTGAATCGTAGCCTGTTCCAAAGCCGAACCTGTTGATGATATCAATAAGTTCTCTTGACTTAGTCAGACAGTGAACAGCTTGTGTTATGCCACAATGCATCGGTGTCTTAAGACCAGAGATCCAACAAGAAAAGAACTGAAATGATGCATCAAATTTCAGAAACCACGAATCTCCCTGCGTCACTTTTCTGCCAGAGAAAAGTTTTGAGATAAACTTAAACCATTGAGGCGGTCTTGCATCTTTGAATCGCTCTAAAGATATAGCTAGATCACTAGGCAAGCACAGACTGTCCTCCAATTCAAACTTGTATGAACTGATCTCAGCTGACAAGATTTTTGCACATTCCGTAATTGCATCACGATCTCTAAGGTTATGTTCAATAATTCCAGATACTGGAACTGATGACTTGAACACTATCTGAGACACAGATCTGTCTTTAGGATAGGAAAATGATATATCATCTCCAAAGTATTTAATTAGATTGAATTTTGTAGCTCGATTATTGAAATTAAGATCTAGAACATTGTTTATACTGTCTGTGATATCAGTCAGCTTGTAAGCTTGAGTTTGGAAATCAAGCTTTTCGAATACCTCCTTCAATCCGTCGTCGTGAATATTCTCTTCACTTTCTCTAAGAAAATTGTTCATAAGTTTTTCAACCTGTCTCTCATAAGAAAGCAGGTATGAGCACATGCATGCACTGTGATAGTAAATGTCAGCTGCAAGGATGTCACCTATGGATTGGCAATAAATATATTGCCTGTAGAGATGATCTTCGTTAAAGGCCATTGCACTCAAAAATTTTGAAGCCCGTGTGGTTCCCATTTTCATCTCAGAAACTCTGTATAGATGTGAGGTTTGATTTGGCCATGATCCTGCTTGATGCTTTTGGCAGATGGAACATTTTGTTGCTTTTGATCTTTTACTCAGTTGGTCAGGTATCTCTCCGCTTGCTGATCTAGATCTGGTGCTTTCACGTTTTCTCTTTGTAGTTTCACAGGAACTTCCTTCTTCTTCTGGAGATTGATCTTTCGGTGTTGATTTTGGTTTAAATCGTTTGGTTGTTCTCATATAATTCTTAAAACACTGCTTTGGACTTTTCATTTTATTGGACTTAGACTGGTTGTGGAAGCGAAAAGTGTCAGGACATTTAGCAATGTTGTTTAGAACTTTACTATCTCCCATTTTTATGGCAGCTTCGTATACTAGCTTTCGTTTATCGTCATCTCCTGTAGAATTAAGTATCGTCACGTTTTAAAACAGTAGTTAAGCTCAATACTACTTTTAAGTTACTCTGTTAGTAACAAACATAGATCAATTAAACGTGATTCGATTCGTATTTAACTAAAATGTAACTATCTTTACTATAATTTTACTGTAAGAATTTAGTAAATTTATTTTACCTCGTAAATCACGCTCTGGATATTTTTCTTCTTTTTCACATAAAACACATACTCGGTTTGCATTCGTGCCTTCTGCAAGTTTTGCTCTTTCTTTTAAGAGGCTTATTCCTTTGAATTTGGATTCAGGACCCGTTTCACTAATCTAAAAAATAATGACATTGAAGGACACATTTTTCGTTACAAAATCCGAATAGCACGAATGAGTAAATTATAGGAGTCTAAAAGCTACGTCATAGTGATTTAATTAATTTCAGAATAGAATTTTTGAAATGGTTAGCCTACTCAACTGATTAGGTAATTAATGAAGACTGTTTTAACCTACATTTATTCCTGATGGTCCTGGAATTTCATCGTCAACAGGAGGTGGAGAAGACACTCTGGGAACAGCATCTTCTGATATACTAATCTCTAGGTCCTAAATTTATTAGACCCATCATCACGAAGTAATTAAATACAAAAATATCATATTCACGAAAGAGATATTCATAGTAAGTGCAATACAGAACTTAATATTTAAGGAAATTCGAAATAACTGAGTCGACCATCAAACTTACACCATCTAAAGCATTGATTGACACACGATGATATGTCACCCTCCTAGCACTCTGCCTTCTCAAAAGCCACTGTTTGCGTGGCCACAATATCAACACAAAACAACCTGAAAGTCGATGCTCTTAGCTCTTCGATATTGCTTTATTATACAAACTGCGTAGATAGCAATAACTTATCAATAAATACACTGATGATTATAGGAACTAACTTCAAGCAACAATATAATCGCTAAAGTAACGTCTGAAACTTACCAAGTATCACACAAAGACCCCAAAGAGTAACAACTGGAATGACAACAAACCAAGGATTCATATTCACGACAAGGTTTCACTGCTGAACCAAGAAGTAGGCGAAATTGGTACACGTTTCAAAACAACTGTAAAAGGACTGTTAACAACTGTTGACAGTGTTGAAGTATGTCTAGTACTGTTGAGAAGTGGGGAATGTTAAGGATTGCAGAGGCGTAGTATCCAGTTACGTAGGTTTATCTCAAAAGTCGTGAAAGATAACTCGAAAATTAGAGTTACAATCAAGAATTTATGTTTGACGGTGAAATATTATACACCCTATACAGCAAAAATAGAGGATTTTAAACCTGTACTGCCCCTGAAGATTGTAAGCGTTTATTTATGTTTAATTGCTCTCCTGTCAGCACAATTGTTATTTTTCACAATATTATATTATACTCAATTTCGTGAATTTTCATCGCGCCTCAGTGAAAATTTAGTTTTTTTCATTTTTCTCAAAAAGTAAGTCCCTGAGAGCTTTAATACCTTCATAGTGCTAATATAAACATGTGTATTGCGGTCATTTTAAGCCCAATTTCAAGTCTCTAAGCACTTCAGAAGCTGAGATAGGAATTTCCCAAATAAGCGCCTAATATGAAATATGGGCGTGGCTCCACAGGGTTGGGACTAGCGAGACAATATTTGCCCCTCGGTGATTTGAGTTATCAATGGCCTATTTAACCCGATTCAGCAGCAAAAAACTCTGTACATCGAAGTGCACACTCAATTCCTCCCTGCTACTAGAGTACCTGTAATTATGAGTATAGGAAGGGTCTGTTATGCTGCGCGCGACGCTCAGCATGTGTTAGTTAATTGCATTATCCAACGCGAATTTCAATTGTCAAACGATGCCGTTCAAATCAAATTAGCCCAAAATTTGTGCGCGGCGTACTAAATATTCGATTACACGCAATCCTGCACGCGCGCAATAACAAATTACGATGAAAATATTGCAACTTTTTAACAACAAAATAATCCAATATCTAATTTTTATTAATCGTTAAAATTAACTTTTCGTTGCAAATATTAACGGTTTAAGCAGGGAAAATTAATCGTGCGTGGTGTAACCGCGGCGAAATTCTTGTTTCATGTAGGCCTCCTTAATCAGTAGTCAATGATTAGACAGGGTTATTGAAATTAAAATGAAATGATCGCGTCTGGACTTGAGACCTTTATGTTGTATTTTAGTTAAAAGTCCCAGTTGCTCAGATTGGGAAATAAATATAAAGGCCATCGTTGATATTATAGAATATGGGTCGAAACATTAACTTTACTGTTTTTTCAATGTGACATAATACGATGTTGGTATGTAACCATACATTTCAGAGTTCCAAAGACAAGAGCGTCTGTATAAAGATTAAGTAACCAGCTAATGAACGAGAAACTAAGAAAGAAGACGAAAGAAGGACAATTCCGATAGACGAAATTTAAAATAATATTAACGGATTAAATAAGAATCGATTAATATATAATAATGGATTATACATTGAACTTTCTAACATAGATTGGTGCACATCTAGATAAATATGGCATACTATACAATTTATAAGCATCTCGCGTTTCGTGCTCCTCAAAATTATACGTCCTACTCCTACTTGCCGGCGCTACTAATTCACTCGCCAGTGTTTCAATGAAAATAGCGCTATTCGTATTATATTACGTTTTGGTGTTGTAAGCTTTTATTAAAAAATGATTGAAGAATAATTGGTGAAACAACGATTAATTTTATTAATGATTAATATCTTTGTTTTATTTTTAAAAATATTGAAAAGTTAATGGTATGACTATGTGGTAAATGGTAAAACAATTATAATTATATAAAAATATAGATGATATTGAATTTGATAAAATGAAATTTCACCTACAAGTACAAACTTCCCATTATACATGATGAAACATGAATTAACTAAACAGTATAACCTGTAGTTTAAAACGGAGAATTATACGGTTCCTGAGGGTGTGAAAGTAATAATCTTAGTATCTTGTCAATTGTTAAGGACTAGCCCTACCCGGCGCGCTACTTCTGACTTCGAGCGTGCTAAATTACTCTACAGTCGATCTTCGAGTTCGAGATTGTTCTAAAACGGCCCCCGACATTTAAAACCACCTTCAATCGATGTATTTTCGGACGCTAATTCCATTAAAATGCTCCTTGTATCACGTCGTGACCCCCACGGTCGTTTGACTAGGTCGTCCTGACGATACAGGGGAGCCGCGCACTCGTGCGCGGCGGGTCATACTTGTATCACGTTGCGACCCCCACGGTCGTTTTCACTCTGTTCTGACGATACAGGGGGAGCCGCGCACTTCGTGCGCGGCGGGTCATACAACGTATGACAAGGTCATACAGCTTATGTGGTATGACAAAATGCTTCCCTGACGAGATATTGGCGAAAAACTGTCTCGATCACGTAATATGACCGTATAATTTAAGGAAGTTAATTTAATTTTTCGTTAGGGTTAAAATAATTCAGCAGATGCTTTGGTTAAGGATTGGGATCAGATTAAAGGGTTCGGGTTTCGAATAGTCGTTCAAAGACCATTAGAGAACGGGTTGGAATTAAGTTTTACCTGGAGACCTCAGGCTATCATGTTCATAAACATATAAACCGAATAGAGATTAGTATAGGCGGAATGACAGGCTGAGCGCGGCCCAGTAAGAAAAGTTACGTGACAGTCGAGTGTAGAGTCAAAAGCTTATAATCATCAACCTTCTGACTTCGTAGCATTTGTTACCTGGGGACTTCAGGCTATTATGTTCATAATAATAAAGATTCGGCGCGGCGGAAAGACACGCTGAGCGCGGCCCAGTAAAGCATTTGTTGTTATAGGTTTATAACTTACCAGGACGTGCGTCGAGTTGTACTCGAAACAAACATTTACGAGTATCACTCGTTAAAGCATTTGCACATTTCTTAACGGGTGATACTCGTAAAATATTTGTTCCACATATTGTGTATTGGACCGTTGACGAGTCCAACTCGGCGCGCATCCTGGTAGGTTGTAAACCTACAGTACATTTCGAGAAAAAAGCGCGAGCGGCGCACGCTACTTCGAAGAAATTTAGACGATCAGTATCAATTATTGACGGATGTTACTTGTTACTCGTATAAATTTCTTCGAAGTAGCGCGCGCCGCTTTCTTCTCGAAATCTGGCCCGATGGCAAGTGCTACGAAGTAGCGCGCCGGGCCAGATCATTAACAATGTTCAATATCAATTAACATTCGTTTTACCTTAACGGATGATACTCGTAAAATATTTCTTCCGTATACCGTCGACGAGTCCAACTTGGCGCGCGTCCTGGTAAGTTATAAACCTACAAGTTTTACCTGAAGACCTCAGGCCGGCTATCATGTTCGTTCATGAATAAAGATTCCGCGGCGGAATGACAGGCTGAGTGCCGCTTGTCATACGTTGTATGACCCGCCGCGCACGAGTGCGCGGCTCCCGTGTATCGTCAGGACGATAAATGATAAAGTGGGGGTCGCAACGTGATACAAAGTGCCGCCCAGTAAAATCGGCCGCGTCAAAAGAGGTATGGGCATAAAAGTATTTTGGTTACGTGACTGCAAGCTAGTAAAACACGACTCGAATTCGATTGTTTAGGGTTAGGGTTAGGGATATATAAACTTATATATGCATTCTTGCGTAGCATCATCGATCGTTGCTTGTTGCTTCGCAACAAGCAACGCGCCTTCGAAGAAATTCAAGAAAACAACACATTTTTTTGCCAGGTTTTTATTAAAACTATGCTAGGCTGGAAATATCTTGGCCTCCAAATCATCGTTTTGTTTCAATATTGTTTTATTATCGGCGCTACTAATTTTAACGGGTGGTATTCGTAAAATCAAAAATATTTGTTTCAAATATTACAAGACTGTCGACGAGTCCAACTCGGCCTGCGTCTTGGTAGGTTATAAACCTGCAATTCTAATTCACTTGCCATGAATTCTTCACATAGCCATGTGTTTACGCGTACTGCGTGACCCTCAAAATTGTTAAGCTCCTGAAATTTAATACCCATCGATCCGAGATTTCCCAACCATCCTTAACTCACCCGTCACCCCTAGGACTAATATTTTCTTTGTGATGGACCAACCAAGTAATTGGTGGAAAAAGTAAGTTCGAACCTGCGCCCTTGGGCAGTATCCAAATAGCCAAACACGTGTTCGCAAACAGTTGCATTGTACACGAATAGGTGTTCCCGAACAACTTATGACATGATGGTTACCAGATCATATGACCGGCCAAATCAAGCAGGGTTCACATTATCGCAAGCACGGTTGGTTCACATCATTGCATACCAATTTCAGTCAGTGGCGTCAAGGCTTATTAAACGAAACAAAGTTTGTCATTGATATAGACAGTTTAGATTTAAACTTGGAGCCGCAAGGGTGATTTTCAAAATATTGAATTTTTGAAGGGTCATTTTTATATAGGTTCATTGTGACATTATGTATATACTGTTTGAAATAGTTTTATACTTATTAAACGATTAAACACCATTACGAGATCAGTTCTCCATCAACCAATCAATAGTTTGATCCAGCAAATTACTACGCTGCAATTAATGGCAATGCTAGTCGTAAATAATTGCATCCAAGATACCATAAATACCATTCAGTTAAATAACATTTCATGATTGGTATGCAGTCATATTGCATATAATGTACAACTGTTTGAGAACACCTGCTTGTGTACAACTGTTCAGGAAAAACTTTTCGCGAACACCTGTTTGTGTACAACTGTTCGGGAACAACTGTTTGCAAACACCTGTTCACAAACACCTGTTCACAAACAGTTGTTCTTGAACAAATGTCGGGCTATCTGGATACTGATCGCCCTTCCGATTATAAGTTATCAAAGCCACCATGGTGGCATCACTGCACCAAGTCCATTGACTTATTATTTTTCAGCTGCTGGACTACTAAATTATTCAAGCCAGGGATTCCATTATAGAAATGGGTGCTGTTGATATTTTCTATCATTTCATCACTATCAAGGGCTGGTGGTGTGCTTAATGGATCACAATGCGATTTATTCAGAATCTTACTTCTGTACATTGTCCCCAAGGCAAACAATTTTACACAGATGTATCAATTGTGTGTAGTGTGTGTAGTGTGTGTAGCTTACGTTGCAATTATCAAGCTCTCTTATCTTTTGTAACTTTGCGATAAGTTCAGTTTGCTGCTACCGCGTAGTAAGCCTTTGCGTGTGTATACTTGTACATTACTATACAATGTACACCACGGAGGATGATCTACATTTGACCCGATCTCAGAAGAAACTCAAGGATTTCAACTATGAAGAAAAGGAAGATGTAGAGGGCTGTGCTGATAGATGGTTCACTTCGATGGCAAGTCTACTGAAATTAGAAAACTTCGAAATTCGTGGAGATATGGACCAAGAAATTCTCATGTCTCCGTCTATCTATAAAAGGTATATGGCAGAATGGGTTATGCAAGCAGCAGACCTCGTACGACGGCAGAGTAGTCAGATGAGCGCTATGATGGAAATTGTTGAGTGCCTCAAGACGGAAGCACTAGCAGACAAGGAAAAGATGGTCAGGTTGCAGGACCAGTTGCTAGTGCAGAAGGACGAACAACTACAGTTGTTTAAGACGTCAGTTGAAGAGACAGTACAAACAACGGTGGAGACAGGGATTAAGAGCTACAGTGCCGCTGTACAAAAGAACAGCACAAATGGCGCGGTCTGCAACAGTAAAATTCTGAAGAATGTTATGAAGAGTGTGGCTGCAGAGGAGGACAGGAGCAAGAATCTGATAGTGTTTGGACTGAAAGAAGAGGATGGAGAACAGCTTCCAGCTCTGGTAGCCGCAGTATTGGAGGAGATCGGGGAGAAACCTCATTTTGAAGCGACTAGAGTCGGCTGGAAGAGGCCAGGTATCACGGCTATCCGACCAGTCAAGATCACCGTCCCAAGCTCAACAGCAGTTCATCAGATTCTGATGAAAACAGGGAGACTGAGGATGGCTGATGCACACAAAGATGTATGGATCTGTCCTGATAGATCCAGTGAAGAGCGTGCAGCAAGGAAGAACGTGGTAACTGACCTGAAGAAGAAGAGGGCTGAACAGACTCATCTCGACCACTACATCCGTAACGGGAAGGTCTGTAGCCGTGTTAAGAAGGCACCATGATGACGTAATTCATGTTTCTCGGACACCGATCAGTATAATATGTACTTGTAGGGGTATTTTAAGAGTTTACGGAAGTTATCTGTATTTGAGAGACAATTATATTATATAAATACATTATTATTTGATTGTTTCACACTTTTCACGTTTCATAATTTTATCACTAGGTGGAGGTGATGTTATTGAGACTTTGGGCGGCCAAAAAACTTCTGTTCTGAAAGTTGTCCTTCTGTACTTGTTTCACTGACCCACGCTTTTTAGCATTTATACATTTCGGCCCATTTTATATGTTTGTTCGAATTGCTGTACATTTGTATACTTGCTATTTTGTAAAAGTTTCAAATCAAAAAATCAAAATCAATGAAAATATGATTTTCTAATAAGTACCCTCATTTTAAGGATATTTTCTCTTTTACATTTAATTGATAACCATGTTATCATTATATCAGGTATAATGGCACAGCCTCCATATCCTCAAGGAGGATATGGTGATCCCAACATGGGATATCCACCCCAACAGCCAGGTTATCCTCCTCAAGCCGGCTTTGCACCACAACAACCTGGCTATCCGCCTCAACAACCAGGCTATCCGCCCCAACAACCTGGATATCCATCCCAACAACCTGGCTATCCACCCCAACAACCTGGCTATCCACCTCAACAACCTGGATATCCGCCCCAGCAACCAGGATATCCGCCCCAGCAACCAGGTTATCCTCCTCAGGCCGGTTACCAACCCCAGCCACAGCCTGGATATCCCCCTCAACAACCTGGATACCCTCCTCAGCAGGCAGGAGGATATCCTCCCCAACAACCGTATGGGGCTCCAGTTCCAGGACAACAACCTCACCCAGGACAGCCATATGGTGCCCCTCAGCCGGGCTATGGTTCTCCAGCCCCTCCTGTTGGGCAAGGCTATGCCGTTGCCCAACCTGCTCCTCAACCTGCTTGCAACTTCACCCCTAACGCAGCATACAGTGGACATGGTCCTTTAGGGGCAACTAACGTGAAAGATGTCAAAGGTAAGCATTCAAAACTGATAACACCATGTTTGCAGTTAGTTTAATGTTGTTTGTGGGTAAATCGTATTATAAAGTATAGATAACCCATAGAGTATAGATTGGAGAATAATTTGGTGGTGTGAAAACTATTATTATCCAATATAATACATTATATCCACAAATACATAGCCACAGTAAACATGCTATTATCTTTCACATTCATCGATTGATGTTTTCTTACATTGATCTTATGGCTTTACTAGTGTAACCCGTGCCTACGGCCAGGACTTCACTATCGCAGTTGAATTGCAAAAGTATAAACAGTGCTAAAGTTAAAATTGTGCAAAAGTATAAACTTTTGGGTCGTGACACCAAACCAAAACTGAAGACTTGACTTTCTGTATCGAAGTAGATATGCCATAATATGTGACAGGATTCCTTTATCATTTGTTGGTGTCTCATGTTGTTGGTGTCTCTCATGTTGTTGGTGTCTCCATGTCCAATATATAATGATAAAGCTGTCTCAGAGCATAATGATCCTAGTTTCATTTTTTTAAACATTCACATTAAAAAAATATTCTTTTCTCAATAGTCAATAGTTATACTTAATAGGCTCCGCTGCCAAATTACCTAATTATGTACAAAGCAGTAATTAAGGGAGCTGTAAATGAGGAGAGAGAGTGAGAGAGAGAGAGAGTGTGACAGAGGGACACAAAGTGAGTCACTTAAATATCACATTTGCTGTACAAATGTGATCCGAACGATCCGAATAACAGCCTCTATGACTCACCTCAATCAAGAGTTTCCCTCTTCAAGGAGCAACTGAAGAGTAACACCGAATCTCCTACTGTCATACCAGAAAGCCCCATTGATGTTACTGGAGACAAATTCTTTGATGCAGAGTGCCTTGTCCCCAAAACCCCATCAAACCAGGGTACTCCTAGTGCAAGTGCCAAGAGCACACCTTCTCAAAACAAGAGAACTCCTACCCAAAACAAAAAGAAGTGTCCATGCAAGAAGAGTGACAAAAACTCAACCTACATCACCTGCAACAAGTGTCAACAGCAATGGCATAATAGGTGCAGTAATCTACTCGGCCTTTCACCATCAGATATTAAGAAAATGGAACTGTGGGAGTGCCCAAGCTGTTATGTCTGTCCCGCACTTAGTAAGGTACCTTCATCCCTCTACGCTGACATCCGTTCAACTAAGGAGGTTGTCACTGCATTATGTCTTAGCGAACGCTCTTCAAACCAGGGGTTGGTTAATGATGATGTCACAGAGAAACTGAACATGCTACAGCAAGAGATAAAAGGCCTCCGTGAGTCTGCCTTCCAGAGAGTTGACCAGCCACACCCAGAGAGCACGACCCTTTTTTTTTTTTTTTTTTTGTCGCGACACCCACTGACCACCGTCATATAGAGGTGGCGACCCTCCACTTGGGGAGCGTCCTACTGGAGTCCATCCATCTGCATTAAGCCCCTTCCCTGAGGGCCACTGGATGATAATACCTGCTAAGGTATCAGCCGAATCGGGGTTGCACCTCCGGAGATTTACTAACTTGGTCCCTAGGGAAGTTCTGGGTGGTTACCCTGGCCGCTCAACACCATGAAAGGATGACGCCCGTGCTGAGTAATGCTGGCTCTTGAGACTTGGTGAGACGTAGGTTGCTAATGGCGGTTGCGGGTGTGCTAACGTTTGGATAGTGTGTTAGGTGGTGGGGAACTGTATTGATACTATCTGCCTTTTGGTGGCTGAGCTAAAACGTGAGGGTTTGTGATGTCACATGAGGTGGACTCTCACTCAGTCCAGAAATAACAGGAGCAGGGATCATAATGTACGACACAGGAAAAACAGGTTCTGATCCAGGGTCCATTTATGCCATTACACACATTACACACGTTTGGTGTGGTAACTACTATACATTACTCCCATAACACTCCCACAATGTAGCGATACTCCCATTGCACTCCCACATTGTAGCGATACTCCCATTGCGCTCCCACATTGTAGCGATACTCCCATTACACTCCCACAAATACAATGTAGCGATACTCCCATTACACTCCCATATTGTAGCAATACTCCCATTACACTCCCACATTGTAGCGATACTCCCATTACACTCCCACATTGTAGCGATACTCCCATTACACTCCCACATTGTAGCGATACTCCCATTACACTCCCACATTGTAGCGATACTCCCATTACACTCCCACATTGTAGCGATACTCCCATTACACTCTCCGAGGGGCGGCAAATTTGCAAACAGGGGGGCAGCAAAACCCAGCGGGCTAATTAATGTAGAGACTGGCAAGCAGAACGGCTATATTAACAAGTGGTTTAATCCGGTTTGGCTTGTCATGATCGAATTACCGCACCGCGGCGTGAGGTTAGTGTCACATGGGAGTCAGGTGAGTGATATTGGTGCTAGCGGGAAGCAGTTCTGTGCGCGCACCCGCTGTTTATGACTGCGCGCCAATCTTTGCTTATATCTGGGGTGTTAGTCGATCGTTGCCAGTGGAGTCCTGGTACATAAGGGGGCCCACTAGCGCTGTCGGCTCTATAGTAACCCGAGGAGCTGGCGTATTCAAGGCCCACCATGGCTTTTGCGAGTTGCCTCGTGAGTTAAACTGGTGTATTCATAGCCCACCATGGCATTGCGAGTCCCCTCGCTAGGCACAAGATTCTTTTATAGACACTAATGCTGCCTCGCCACAAAGTGCAATGCGGACAGACATGAGCCCTGGAAGAACCAGTAAAACCTGACAAGGATTCTCACCCTGTCAGAAGCAGCAGCAGCCCTCGGCCTCCACCAAACAGGATGCCACAGCCTAACCATGGTCCTGGTCCCACATCCCCTCCCCTACCTAATACTGTCTCTCCACACACAAAGAAACATGTGACACCGTGCAAGCCCTATGAAATGTATGACCCTCTAGCCCTTACACCAGAACTTAAGGAGGAAGTCCAAGCGTTCATCAGTGGTAACTGTAGCGAATTTACTAGTGTTGGTGAAAACTCTCGTGAAGTAATGTACTTTGGTGACTTCTCGTATAGGTACACTGGCACTGAGCACCCAGCAAGAGAAATGCCGCACGTGCTGAAGAAGCTTATTGACACAATTGTTCCTAAAATACCTTCTCCAGTGAATGATAGGAATATCAAGATTAACTCGTGTCTCATTAGTAAGTATAGCTCTGGTGCTAACCACATTCCAATGCACAGAGATGATGAGCCTGTGATTGATCCCGAATCTCACATCCTTACGATCTCACTAGGAGCTGCCCGTACCATGTCCTTCTGCAATAATGATGACAGCCAATCAGAAGATCTCCCCCTTCAGGACAACAGCTTGTTAGTCACAACGAGATATGCGCAGGACTTTTGGAAACACGGGATCCTCCCAGACGAGAATGTCTCCACAGAGAGAGTGAGCCTGACCTTTAGACACATTTCTCCTCACTTCATCAATTCGACCATCATTCTGGGTGATTCAAACACCTCCAGGATGACATTTGGTGACTCAGTAGGTACCTTTGGTCGTTGGGTCCCTGGGAAGCGTGTTTTGGTAGGTCACATGGAGGCTCTCCCTGATGCAATTGAGATTGGCCCTTACCGTAATATTGTCATCCATACTGGAATCAACAGTATTAACTCCCGGTCTCATCCACGATCAGAAGCCTACCTCCTCCATGTCCTCGAATCCAAGTGCAGAGACATTACTGAAACCTACCCCAAATCCAAAATCCACTTGTCAATGTTACTTCCAACTAGACTAAACTCTCTAAATAGAAAAGTTGAAAGCTTTAATCGGGGCATCCTCGATGTGTCTTATCAGCAAAGAAACATTTTTATTATTGATAACTCTATTTTTGGTCGCCAGCTCTCAGATGAGTATGGCAGATGGGATATTGCTGCAAATGGCCCTCTTACCTCAGATATTGTCCACCTTGGTAAAAGTGGTATCCGTAAATTTGCTGGCACGAATATTAAGGAATCTGTAGCTGGCAGAAGGAGTAGCCAGTCTAGAGCACGTTTTAACACCAGTCAGGGGAACTTCGGCGGAGCGGTAGAGGGTGGTAGGCACCCACCATAATTATGATGATCAAACAACCACAAATTACTAAGAATGTTTGCAATGGATGCAATAAATTTATCTCAACACACCACAAAATTTTGAACTGTAGTTCCTGTGGAACAGTTACTCACTCTAAATGTGCCCAAAATCTCTTCCAATACACCCACACCAATGATAGCTGGCAATGCTACATCTGCATCGTCAGCTTACCACAACGGTACTGCCCATTTGCTTCTGCACTTATACGTGACAAACATGACCCAGTCCACCTTGATGAAATTGAAGATGTTTCTGAAATCAATGAAATCCATAAAAGCTGTAAAAATTATGATCATAAAAGCTTTAAGAACCTCATAAAGCTGTATCATAGAAATGGGCAGAACCTTACTGGTATTTTTAACAATATTGATGGAAATGCTGCAAATTTTGATACATTTGTCACAGAAATCTCACAGTACAGTCATCCACTCTCGTTTATTGGCTTGGCTGAGACAGATATTGATGCAAACCTCAAAGACCTGTATAGGATACCCGGTTATCTCTCTGAATACACCAATAAATTACGTGACAAATCTAAAGGTAGTGGAGTGGGAATTTACATCAATGAGTCACTTACTTACACCCGTATTGACAAACTATGTATGTGTACCCCTAACCTTGAATCAGTGTTTGTCTCCATAACAAATGTTGGCAGGCCCCAAACAGTTGGCGTCCTATACAGACCACCTGGTGGATCTGACAAAGATGCCCTACACGAATTTGAGAGCCTTCTTAATCAGGTTCCTGATAGGAACGTTATCCTGCTTGGAGATTTCAACTTTAATCTATTTAATAAAGGCTCTGCCAGCTTTGAAAACATTTTATATGGAAATAACTTCATCCCACTTATATCACTGGCAACGCACCATAAACCAGGCTGTGTCCCATCGCTTATTGA